CCTCACAATATCTTCCAAAGTATATTCACAAACAGGCACTTACTTATTTAAGGGTGTAAGATGTATCTTGGCAGTTTCAAAAGTACAGACACTTTTTAAAAAGGAAATATCAGCTCCATTTCTTTGACAGCAGTCTTGAAAAATCTGTCATCTTATTCAGCCATACACATATGTGTAGGAGTAAGCTGTCTTCCATAGAGCCTTCTATAATACGCAAAGTCCTATAACAAGCAACTTGCAGAGTCTTTCACATTCATCTAAATCAAGGTGACAGAGTAGCCCAGTGTGGACGAGTCCGGGCTGTGGAGACAGACTGCCCGGTTTCTATGGAGGCTCTAACTTCCTGTCCACTTGACCTTGGGCAAGTCACAAAACCTCTCTGCCCTTTGGTTTCCTAATGTGTCAGAGGAATGATGATGGTGCCTATCTCGGAAGACAGGTGTGAATATTCAATGAGTACATATAAAGTACTAGGAAAAGTGCCTACCACATAGCAGGTAATAAAGTCGTTATCTTAGGTGAGATAATACAACTTACCATCCGCTATTAAAATTTAGAATCTATTTTAAAGAACACATAAAACTATTTCAGAAAAACAGAAGAAAACAAAGACTGCTATTTTGAGGCATACGTTCCGGTCTCTAGCGGTACTCTAAAACACCAAAACTGCACCTGGAGGTGAAGTGTGCGTACGCCCCTGATCTTAGAAGTTCACAGCTCATCGCATCACAATAAACATTATTTGTACATCCGTATGCAGGTTAACTTCAGCAGCTTCACTGTTACTGGCATGGAATAGGCCCTCAACAATTATTGTTGGGATAAATGAATCAACTGTCCATCTTATTATACATACTAAGCAATTTTGATACCAGGGATCTTCAAGTGTACAATTTTCTTTACTAAAATGCACAGGTAAAGATGTCTCTGTGTGTCCTCCAACTATATAGCAACTATAATATACAATGACCTCCAGGGGGATGGTTTGCTATTTTTTGTATGACCTGACCTAATTAATTTCAAAATGAAACGCATTATAGTACCTCCACAGATTAAGCAACTGATTAACTGAACACTACGAACCTCATGGAGGTCCAAACATTAAGGACTGTATTTTCTTCTCAATTCTCTGACCTTAGCAGCACTATGCCAACTCCCTTCCTAACTGGAGTAGATTCCTAAAAAATACCTGGAACACATCCCAGAATTTTCAGGTCACTTTCAGCTATTAAAAATCCACTCAGTTTAAAATGCCAATCAAATGCCTGAAACAGGGCCTTCCCCGGGGCATCTCCTGGCTACAGGGTCTCAGGAAATAGAAGGGGTCCTTACAATGCCAAGACTGAGTGCAGGCCAATCCAAGTCTCTTTGTGTCTGCTGCCAACTTCCTCCAATTTTCTTTCTGCCTGCCCAAGTGGGTGTAGGGCACAACAGTAAGTGCAGGCCCAAAATGTTTCTTGCTTTTCACCAGCAAGACATTTCATGCAAGCAACAGCTCCTGTATCTTTGGGAGGTCTCCTTATTCAGTCCTCCTCCCGTGTCAGCCCCTGGAAGGGAGGTGGGGTAGGGCGAGGGGTTCGTTCCTGGGCTGGTTGCTGGCCCTTCCCTTCACAAGGCCTAAAGTTTCTGCGGTAGAGGACAGCAGAAGCATGGTGGAGGCAAAACCACCTGCCCATGGTTAGGTCTGTCTTTTTTTTTTTTTTTTTTTTCCAATCTGTTCCTGCTAACTCTACGTAAGGCTGAACAGACCTTGTCAGGGGATGCCAAGGACAGGGATGGTATACAAAATATTAAAGAGGCAAGGGTGCCAACTGATCAGAAGGGATGCAGTCCAGGGGCAGGCCCTTTGCTATGCAGGCCCCTTGCTATGTCCTCTGGTTGCTGAAAGGATCAGGAGAGCCCAGGGATGCCACAGCAAGGGGGTTTGGGTCACAGTTTTTATTACTAATAATGGTAAGTATTTTAGTACTAGGACAGCTGTACTGGTGGAAACATCACTCTTACTCATGGGAGCTCATCAGTGTCCTGAGCAAAGCTGTCTCTGTTGTGTACTTCCTGATGTCAGAGACTGTCCCAGGCCTGCTCTCTGCCAAGCCCTCCCCCCATGACTGTCTCATGGCTTCTTGCCCGGTGATACTGAACTGCTTTTATTTGTCCACTTCACCTGTGAAAACTAATGCATCTTTACAATGCCAAACCGCAAAGTACAGCAGGCCATTCCAGGCCTCTCTGTGCAGCCAATGTCCTCCAGTTCTCTCCTTCCCTCGTCTGTCAGGTGAAGGGCACAGCAGTTAAGTCCATGTCTAAAACATTTCTTGTCTCACCAAAGAATGAGAAGATACCTCTTGCAGATAGCCCTCCATCTTTAACAAAGATTGTCTTAGAACTGCCTTCACTTTGCTTGACAGGGGGCAGGGATGAAGAGTGGAAAGCACTTCCTTCCTTTCCTCTTTGGGATAGGGAGAAAGGCCAAAATATTCCGGATGACTGGATAATCTTTGAGAGCCTCTATTCCACTGATGATTGGGAGTTAGGAGGACAACAAAAGGAGAAACCCCGAAGTGGTATATGGGGTAGTAGGTGGATTAGACCATCTCTTTATAAATCTCAAGAGAAGGATCTAGCCCAAACTGAAGGTGGCTTCCTGGTGGATTTCCCTTTGATGTGTGTGAATTTAAAGCCGTTCTTTCATATTTCAGACAATAGCACCAATTCCAAGCAACAGGAAAAATCCTCCTCCATATCCTGTTATACTTGTTTAAAGAGGCACCCGAAATAATTAAATATTATGTTCAGTTCAAGAAAAATGAATATCAAATACACATGGAATAAAAAAAAATTGAGGAAGCATATTTCTACTGGTGATTATTTGGAGATGCTGATTAATCCATTGTGCACATATTTATGTTTAATTAGAAACTGGGAAGGATTTAGAATGTTATTCTAAAACACAGTCTATTAGCATTATGGCATCATATTCATGTAGTGCAAATAATAATGTGAGATTTTCTTGGTAAATTATTTTTTTAGCAACCCTGTTTTATCAAAAGCATATATTTTTACTCAGATGTTAAAAGAAACCAAGTCTGAGTATAAGCTGATTTGCTATAATTGGAATAGGCTTATTGCAGTCATTTTACCCCTTTAAAATTATGATACCAGCATTCAAACATCTGTTAAACCATAGCATCTGTTTCATATTTGGGATGCATCCCTACAAATTAGAAGAATGTTCTTTTTAATGAGCTCTGATTTAATAGGGAATCCTTTTTTTACATATATATAACTGTTATACCAAAGAAAGAAAATGAAAAAAAAAAATCCTCTCTCTAGCGCCCTCCACAGCAAAGTACCTCAAAGGTCCATACATTTCTAATATAAAACTGTTCGATAAAGATATATTAATATGAGTTAGCTTGTTTTACAATTTAGTGTTGTTATGCATATACTATGAATGTATATAAGCATGCACGTGTGTGTGCAGGTGTGCATGCATATATGCAGGTGTGCACACACACACACACAAACAGGGAAATGCAGAGGGCCATACGTTCGTGTTATTCAAGAAAAATAGTCACTTCTTTCAGATACATTGTCTTGACAATGTATGGGGTCTTAAAAATACTAAATTCATGACCTTATTATTTCTCTGTTTACTAAGATTTGTTTGCCCAAGGCACACGTGTTGACAGATCTTTACCATTTCAGTTCATTCTCAAGTAGTACATTGCCACTGACTCATTCAGTTCCTTTTAAAATGATTCTCTTTTTAAAATGATGCTCTCTTTTTAAAATAACAGTTAAGGCCTATGTTGAGGCACATCGACTTTGGAAGTTTTCTAGTCATTTTTAGTCCTCTATCTGGGTCTGATTTTGTCTTATAAGAAGCATGTCAGCTTAATGTCAGACAACAAAGGGTTCATTTGTTCCACTGTTTATATATTTTACTATTTCAGGCCTTTGTATTTTTCTATTTCTAATGTGGATCTGGCTAGACTTAAAAAAACTTAATTTAAACATATTTAAAACTCCTAGATTTATGATATAAGCTACCATAAAATTTAGAAAATGATAGGTTGTCCCATTAAATTTAATAAACTACAAAAGGCTTTATAAAAAGAATCCTATCACTCACAAAAAAATCTCAGAAGGAACTCATTGGAAGGAAGCCAGAAAAATGAGAGAAAAGAAAAAAATTCAATATAAGAGATATTGGTCACCCACTTTGTGCCTCCTAATTTTAATTTGTCTCACCCAAAGAGAAAACTGCTATTATCGTGTCCTAGTGCTAAAGACATTTCTTTCACAGAAGAAAGGCAGAGCAGTCACAGGTAGGCAGAGAAAACCAAGGTCCCTGCCAACCCTAGCAACAACTGCTTCTGGCACCTTTCTCGCCAACCCACCCCCACCAAGCAAGGGCTCTTGTATGAAAGTACATTTTCTACTTTGCCAAAGGAACAGCAGTATTTTATACCCATGTCATATCAAGTGCACAACTGATAGGTGTTACAAAACCAGATTTTAAGACATTTAGAGTTCTTCACACACACACACACACACACCCCAAAACCAAAACCAAAACAAAAAACCCAACAAATTAAACCATCAACCACCTGGTTTAAAAGTAGTGTCTTCTAGGAATTTACAGATGCTATAAGAGAACCCGAGAAGAGAAAAATGACTCCGAGCATTCTTCTAGGTTTAGGCTGCACTTAGCTTACCAATCTAAGACAAAAACTGACCTTATTTTACAATACTACCTGTGAAAAAAGACTTTGCCATTTCCCTGAGTGCCCTTTTCCAGGGCTTACTGACTTTTCGTAGCAAAACTCCTTTCTTCCTAAATTAAAGGCTAACCCTCTCATGGTTGAAAATTAGATACAACAACACACTTTCTGATCACGGGTGAGATGGCACAGTTTAAAGAACACTGTTATGGTGAACTTTTTTGTGGTTTCCACCTCTTCAGATCTTATCTCTACATATTGTTAGAAACTTGCCTCTGCCAGTTGAAAGAGTGCAGACTTCCCACAGCGTTTCACAGGCTCAGCACCACCCAACTGCGAAGTGTTTGAAGAAATCTATATGGAAAACAATTCAGATAAAGAGTATTAATTATGTCAACAAAATCTTTGCTTCCTATTTATACGCACTCAGGAACTTTCTTTAGTTTTTGAGAACATCATTGCTCCTAAGTACTAAGTAACTTCAAATATGTCATATTTGGGATAATTTTTGAAACTGATTTTAGTAAACAACCTCAAATATTGTAACAAAAACCAGGTGTGGCTTGGATAGCGGTTTAATGACAAGAGTATTATCTTGTATACTCCAAGCTTTGAATTTAACTCCACAACCTTAACACAAGATATGCATTTCCATTTCTATATAAACACCAATTCATGGACTGGCCAAACACAAGAGATTTAGAGTCCTTTTGTATGTACCAAAAGCAGCAAGTTGGGTTTTATTATTTTTTTTAAAGGAATATATTTGGGATCTCTAAAATATTTAGGGAACATAGCACTGTCAGTCAACAAATACTTTTTTTGAGAATCCAATATAAATGTACTAGGGTAATATGGCAGGAGCTGGAGAAGCTAAGGGTTTTATAAAGAACACTGGCCCTGGCTTTGAGAGAATGCTCTAAAGCATACACAAAGATTGACAATCGAGACCACATATCTAAAATAAGCCTTACAGTTAAGGCCTATGTTGAGGCACATCGGCATATACAGCATTACACTGACGGCACGCTCTCCTGCAAATGTGGCCAAACAGCAGCTGGGCCCTGATAGCAATGAACTCCATTGTCCTTTTTCATTTTTAGGTGAAAACTTCATTTTCAATTTCTAGCCTCACTCAGTAAAAAAAGCTGAGGACACACATTCTTAAGGATCTTTACAAAGTATTCTTTTCCTGGAGAAGGTCTGTCATCATTAGAGCAGCTAGCTATGGTGTAAGCTTTTCATGGTCTTCGCGATTCTGAATTCTTTCTCAATTTACGACAGGTAGCTCTCAGTTTAGGAGGCAGCTCTGTCTGGCGACCGCATCCTTACAGGTGACCCCAACTCCCACAGGGAATTCTGAGATGCTGGCAGCACCAGGAGAGACTGGGTGCTTGCTGCTAACAGGATTTTCCTTAGAATCCCTGCTGAATAAGAGGCCATTGTAGAAGCAAATATTTAATAAGCTACCTGGGCCATTTGGAAGGGTGTAGCTTACAGAACTTTTAAGCACTTTTTCATCATAGGTACCATCATTCTCAACAGTTCTTTGCTATTCATCCCAATCACTTCTCCTTTAGAAAATTAACTAAGTGGGGCTCAATCTTCCTGAAGTCTGGAACATTTTCTTCTCGCTAAATTTTCTCTGATATGTTCCATTTCTACTTTTTCTAGAAGTTGAATTTAATTACCTTATCATTAAACTAAGAGAAATGAACACCGCCTCTCAATGACTTTAGGGAATGAAGTACTGAGCACAGATGTCTTTTTTCTTTTTCTTTTTTTTTTTTTTTTTAAGATTCCATTTATTTATTCAGGAGAGACAGAGAGAGGCAGATACATAGGCAGAGGGAGAAGCAGGTTCCCTGTGGGGAGCCTGATGGCAGGACTCAATCCCGGGACTTCGGGATCATGACCTGAGCCAATGGTGGGATGCTCAACCACTAAGCCACCCAGGTGTCCCCAGATGTCAGTCTCTTAAACCAAGGTTGTATAAAAAGAACGAACATGACCTTTGTGTCAGACAGACATGCCTTCATTACTTTTTGCTGTGTTGACTTCAGGAAATAATCAAGATTTTGTGTCTCATTTAGCTCATCTTCAAAATAGAAACAGTAATACCTGCCCCATATTACTGCTGTGAAGATTAGATTTTATGTTAATGAAGAGTCTGGCACAGTGCTGAGCTCATATTATTAAGCTCTCAATAAATGGTGCAATTATTAACAAGAATTTATCATTAGTAACACAAACATAAACTCTTTTAGTAGAGTTCTAAAAATTACTTACACACTGAAATTGGAATGGAATTAAAAATTGCAATGTTGGAGGATAATTATGACATTCCATAATCTGTAGAATATTAAATCTGTCATATTATCACATGATACTCTCAAGAATCACTAGAGGGCAAGCCTGGTAGCGCTGCTCTAAGCCACAATGGGGTGCATGGGGTGTGGATCTAGTTCTTCCACTGGTTCTCTCTGCTGTCGCTTTTGTTGCTGTAGGTTTACGCTCCTTGACAGTAGGTATGTTTGTTCATACGCATCCTGTGCATGGCCAACTATGGGGCTCAGTGACGAACGTGGGACTGCATCATCTGACACCTGAATTCATGCATAGATGTCTGAGTTGAGGCTTGAGCATGGTTCTTTACCTGCTCAAAAGGAACCACCACCTGTGTCTAGTAAGACTAGTTCCCTCATCACCCAGGGGGGGAGTTTTACCTATCTGTAGATATAAGGAAGATTTCCAAAGGAGCTTGTGTGGGGTAGGGTCAATGTGTTTTAGTAGCCCAACATTTCCTGAATTGCCTTACCAATGCAATTTTCCTGGAAGGACTGTGGTGATTTCTTGGGAACATTCTATGTGGCTAACCATTTTTTTTGAGAAACTCTTCTATGGGCTTCCATGGCTAAAGGATCCTTGTTTTCCTCCTACCCACCCCACCCGCCACTCCTTGTTCTCTTTTCTCTGGTGTGCCCTTAAATGTTTCTCCTCAAGGTTTTGTCTTAGGACCTTCTCCTTTTTTATTTGTACATTCTCTCTGATGAATCTGATCACTCCTGATGGCTTCATTAGAGCTTGTACAATACCAATTTATTATACCACTGCTTGTTCCCATTTTTTTTTTTCCTATTTAAGAGACTTACACAGCCTTTCAAGTAAGAACAATACCGTTAGTGTGATTTTCAATGTCTGGTCAGCTGGTGGAGGGATGTGTGCATTACGTTACACTTCTGGGTAGGGAACATTTGTGGCCCATACTGCATAGTACATTCTTGGCTTTGTTTTTTATTTTCCTCAAATTGGATGTCACTTGCCAATCTGTTAACTCCACCATAGTCTCTCCTTTGCCTTGTATGTACTGTTCGATAAACAGAGTGGGTGTAATAGGACGTGAAGTACAACAAAAATGCTAAGAAAAATGATCACCCTGGATGTTAAAGTGATAATTTTATAGCTGCCTGAGGTAGGGGAGCCACATCAAGGAAGGAGGTAGTAAAGATCAAAAGCAAATTAGGTAATAGTGGAAGTCTTTTGTAATTATGAGGGGAATCATAAAACATGCAGCCTGGGAGGAAATGACTGATAATTACTGAACAAATAATAAAAATTAAAAAAAAAAGTGAACAGTATGGGATGATTGGTCTTTCTTACCTTAAAAGAAATATTAATGCATCTAATAAAACACATAATACTTTCACACTGATTAGTTCCAGTGTGAGTATACAGCTTTTGTCGAGTGTAATATTCTGTAACATATTGAACAGTCCATCATGAAAATGAATGCTTTAAATTTGTACCTATTGCTTATATCCAATTGTGGCAATGCCTTAAATTTGGTGAGATTATAGTTGTATTTATATTGGCATAGTAAATACTTTCTAAGGGAAGTTTTAATATCCAAATTTATTGTTCCAAATCATCCAGATTAGTTCTCTGTCTTCAACAAAAATATGTAATGTTTCAATGCAAAGATCTATTTTAGGTGTAAGAGTTAGCCGTGCCAACAGAAAGAGTATGTGAACCGGTCATGGATTTCAGACTTGTTAAATAATAGAAGACAATAGCTCCCTTCTGGCATTACATGTGGTCATTAGTCTTTAGTAAATGAGATCTAAAATGTGATGGATGTGTCACTCTACCTGTAAACAACAAAAGATGCAGAGAGGAAACTCATTCTGACCAATGTAATGGATCAGAGACTGGAAACAGAGTGATGGCTCTTCAGATGGGCCAAGTTGCATGTAGATGAAGTGTGATTATCAGTAAGGAGTGGAGACAGACAGAAATGGGAAGGACAAGAGCCTGGGACAGGCTATGCACTCTATATTTCTTCCTAGATCTTGCAAAGCAGATATATTTTTTTCCCTTTAAACATAAACTTTCATGGGGAATCTACAAATAAATGTTCTTTATTCACTTTTAATAGTTCCAAGTTGGTTAACTTCGAAACTATCAGACTTGGTTAAGAAAAAGAAACATCCTTCTTAGCTTGCAAGGCAGGGCAACAGGGCTTGGTATGAAAGAAAAAACAACTTCGACTTACAGAAATGCCCGGGGCTTATGATTTCTTAAAACAGGTATTTTTAGGATAGCTATTTTAACACAATAAATGACTCATTGCCAGGAGAAAATCTAGCTGATCTCTTCCTAGCGTTATGAATGTTTGTAAATCAAATTAGCAGGAATGGTCCCTAAGAATTTGCATGTCTGACCTTAATATTATAAAGCTAACCATTTTTAAATAGTAAATTGTCTCCTAAATCACAGAAACATTCACTTTTCTCTAAGCATACATTAATAGGACTGAAATCCTTCTGAAAAGAGAGGGAGTATAAGTTGGCTGAGACTAGTGTTCATCCTCCTTTTCACTTCATCCCTTCCCTATGAGGTCCCAGAGATACTAGGAAGTGCCTTAACAAAGACGAGTTAATAATTCACGGTAACAATTATAAACTACAGAAAAGTGGCCTCAAACTGTGATTTCCTAATAGGAAACTTTGTTAGAAATGCAAATACCCAGGCCCCGTGCCAGGCTCAGTAAATCAGGAACCCTGGGAGTGAGGTCCAGCAATCTGTGTTTGAACAAGCCTTTAAGGGGACTCCAGTGCAGAGGTTTGAGAACCTCTGCCGTAGACTAATTAAAACAAGGATTTCAAGAGTCTTTGTGTTTTCTCAAAGGTGATGGGTGTTCTATGGAATAATGATAACAGCTTTAGGGATATGATCATAGTTAGTAATTACAGCCTATTCTATTTCTATTGCAATACATGTGCGCATAGCAGATTTCAGTATGTAATTTTATTAGTTCATCCAGTTAGCTCTTGTTTGCCTTTGAGTAAACCAGAGTCAAATGACAACACGGTCAGATCCTAAGATGGCAGAGATTGAAACTTAGGGTTCTCTCTTGGGCCAGCTGAGACAAGTGACTAGAGAAGTTATATATCCTTAGAGAATCGTGTACTTCTCTTATATAATCACATGTAACAGTTATAATTAGTAACTGCAGAGGCCACTTTTAGGCAAACAGGCTTTGAGCGATGGACTGTAGAAAGGGCCCACAGCAACTACTTGGCTGAATATAGACTGGCCCTTGGGGGTACCCAACCTCAAGATATCCATAGGCCCTAACTGACCAATGGGCTACTTACATCTAGGCACAGTTGTAACTGTAATCTCCTCAAATAGGGAGAATTCCGTATGTCCCCATACCTCCACACCTTCCCTCTTTAAAAAAAAAAACAAAAACAACAACAACGACAAAAAAAACAGACAATGGAATACTACTCAGCCATCAGAAAAAAAAAATGAAATCTTGCCATTTGCAATGATGTGGATGGAACTAGAGGGTACTATGCTAAGTGAAATAAGTTAAACAGAGAAAGATAATTATCATATGATCTCACTTGTATGTGGAATTTAAGAAACAAAACAGAAGATCATAGAGGAAGAGAGAAAAAATAAGATGAAACCAGAGAGAGAGAGAGAGAGACAATCATAAGAGACTCTTTTAACTACAGGAAACAAACTGAGGGTTGCTGGAAGGGAAGTGGGTCGGCAGATGGGGTAACTGGGTGATGGGCATTAAGGAGGGCATGTGATGTAACAAGTACTGGGTTAACACTGACATCTACCTCTGAAACTAATATTATATGCTAATGAAGTGAATTTAAATTTTAAAATTTTATTTTTTTTAATTAAAAAAAAAAAAAACCCAAACCAAAAAAACAGCCCCTGCCCCCTGCCTCTCTTCTGCTGTCCTGCCTGCTCCTTCCCTTGCCGTCTATTTCTTAAACTTCTATCCCCTTTGTTCTGCCTCAGGTGAATTCTTGTCACCGCCCATGCCACCAGCTTTTACCAAATCATTGCCCCACATCTGGGGGCCCCCGATCCGATGAGGAGAAACACCACAATAACCAAGTATGTAATTACTTGATTTGCTTAGGAATGAAAAGGGCTCATATTATCCATCTATGCAAAATATAACTAGGAGAAACCATATACTGAGTTGATTCTAAGGCAAACACTCTATTTTGTTTTTTCCACCACACATGCCTTCCTCTGTTATGAGATCTTGAAACAGCTCTAATAATTTTCAGATTATCAATTTTTTAAAGCTCTCTCAAATCCTATATATGTCTCATGATAAAACCCCAAAACCCTCAGAAGACCAGTGCTACCGAGCAGAGGAGTGAAATCTGCAAACATCATCCTGCACAAGTCTCAAGTGAGAAAAGGTTCTTTTCTTTCCTAGAAAAAAAAACCTCTCATTCTTTAAGGAGTGAGCGTACTGAGCAGCAAGGAAGCATTAATCTGTTTAAGAGAGGCTCAGATCTCATTCTCTAGAATCACAGGACAGTCACTGTTACATCATCAAACTGGTCCCTCAGAGCTGCCCAGGCTTAGGGACCTCTTCATAAATATGGTAATAATATCATTTAAATAACAATCACGCTCTGAATGGAGATAACTATTGGAAACACCAGCTGTGATATCCCATACTGACATTTGAAATGAAGCTGGATACTCTTGGTAGTTAATATATATCAGGTGTGTTAAGGATGAGCCACTACCTTTCTAATAGTCCTGCTACAGAGTGGAGAATTTAATCAAACAGAATATATGGCAAATACATTGTTTTGAGGAAAATAAAATATTTCTAAAAAGTTTCATGCAGCTGGCTCAGGTATCAAGATTAAAAACAAACTGGGGATCCCTGGGTGGCGCAGTGGTTTGGCGCCTGCCTTTGGCTCAGGGCACGATCCTGGAGACCCGGGATCGAATCCCATATCGGGCTCCCGGTGCATGGAGCCTGCTTCTCCCTCTGCCTGTGTCTCTGCCTCTCTCTCTCTCTCTCTCTGTGTGACTATCATAAATAAATAAATTAAAAAAAAAAAAAAGATTAAAAACAAACTTAGTGGGATCCCTGGGTGGCGCAGCAGTTTGGCGCCTGCCTTTGGCCCAGGGCGCGATCCTGGAGACCCAGGATCGAATCCCATATCGGGCTCCCGGTGCATGGAGCCTGCTTCTCCCTCTGCCTGTGTCTCTGCCTCGCTCTCTCTCTCTGTGACTATCATAAAATAAAAAAATTAAAAAAAAAAAAAACTTAGTCAACATACCAAAATTCTTCTTTTACTCTTAAAAAAAAATTGCTAGTATCAAATAAATGAATGTCACCAACTAGAAGAAAGCAAGGAAGTATTAAAACAATTTCCCCAGACTGGAAAGAACAGTCTGCTTATCATAACGACAAATTATAATAAAATCTTAATTTATTCAGATTCATCAAGCAAATTGTTCTTCATAAATGGTGGTAGTTTTGTTACCAGTTTTATAGAATAGCCCTCAGCAACTAAAGCAAACCCTGTAGCAGAGAAGCCTAAAAGATAAGCAGGGCAATTGGTGGTATAAAGTCACAGTGGTTGACACAAGTGTCCTGAGAAGCAGCAGTATTTCTTTTTTTAATGTAAAACCTGAAAGTAATTTTTCCTCATTTCCAAAGTAAGATGCTGGGTTTTCTCCTGCCAAAAGGATATCATTTTACATTTCATTTATGCAGCACTCTTTATTCAAATGAATCAAAATGATTCAATACATCAATATTAAACAGAATAGTCCTGCCTGTCATTTTCTCTCAACCCTTTAAAAAACTGCTTAGTTTATAATATGTATTTTTGGTTGGAATTACTGAAAAAGGAAGAAGGGGAAAGACTTAAAGCAGACACCAACTTTATATTCATGACCCGTATACATTTCATTATTTGTCATACAGTGCTCATTAGAAATGAGCAGCATATGGCTTAGGCCAGGGATTTTGTGGCAAAAATCAAGCATATCAAATGTGCTTCTTTGCACCAACTAAGTAAGCACTCTCTAGTGTGTGCTCTCTCTCTGGCTGACAAACCAAAGAAATCTGAGATCCTGCAAGAATTGACCTGATCTAAGCCTGGGATTAAACACTAATAAAAATGCTGGCGAAAGCTACATCACATTGAAAGCTAAGTACTGATGATTTAACAGGTTGTATTCACTGCAGCCACTTTGAGTTATTCATAAATCACAGCATCTAATTTCACTATTGGAAACATTTAATAAATTGGAATCCTATGTCCGCCTTAATGTGGACAGCAGTTTTTTCAAAGCTTCTAAAATAAATTAAAAACAAGGTAAAATGAAACAAATGAATTACTGGAAAGTGCCTATTCTAAATGAACTACTTAATGAATGCTTATAAAATGAATACAAAATATGGGGCCGATCTGACTATGATTATAGCAAAGGCAGCAAAAAGCATTAACTATTCCCTTAGGCGCATTATTTTCGTAATGGCAAGAGGCATGCCTAAAGTTCACTGTATGTTATTAAAACTCTATTCTGATATTTCCTGAGCTCAGTAAGTTTCTGAGCCCAATAATCGTTAAAAAAAAAAAAAAAGAATACCTCTGCAAACTGAAACAAGGCTGATGCTTGACATTGTTTTGAAGGAGTCTCAGGGTGGGATGTACTTGAAGATATCTGAAAGGAAACAAGTAATTTTTAATGCACAAGGACGTTTTCCCATATCAGACTAATAGATTCCGCCAAATATTTCCACTGTAGACAATGATAAAAATTACGACATGAATCATCACCCTTAATGCCTTTTAGAAGAACGGTGTAAATGATAAGGGAAGACAAAGGCCATTCTTCTAAAAACAGATGACTGGAAGAAAAAAAACACCAAGTATGGCTCATTTGCCATGTCTCTTCTAGGGTATCAGGTATGCTGCAAACAGCCACTGAGACTTGAGATGAACTGCTTTATTTCGATATATTTTTAAAAATATTATTAAAAGCTGGAAGCTGCAAGAAAAGTCAGCTACTCTCTCTTTCCTACACCTCTCCCTACAAGCTGTTCTCTGCTTCCAGGCAGCTGGGAAACAGTGCTGGAGAAGCATATGGATATGGCTCAGGGTATCTGGGACTGAATCTTAGCTTACTACTCACTAGCTACCTGACCTTGGGCAGCTCAGCTAATCTTTCTGAGGCCTATTTTTCCCAACTATAAATTGATGATAATGATGAAGAGAATAATCTCCATTTTACAGGATTATGGTGAAAAGAAAAGCTACAGAATACACTGCCTGGCGTAGCACCAGAACTCAATAAATTATTCACTGCATAGAAATAGCATTTCTTTTGTAATACCATGCATACATTCTCTCTCTCTCTTTCTCTCTCTCTCTCACTATCATTCTTCAGGTATCTGACAGTGGATAGAGGGTTCTCCACCATACCACAGTTGGTTCAACTAGGCCTTTCATTTCCCCTTGGCCATTATGGCAGCCTCATTAAAAGTTTGCTCTGATGGCCCCATGGAAGTACTTTTCAAAGATCTTTTGAGAACAAGGTCAGTTATTAATTTTGGTTCTGAAGCGAAAAAGACTTCTATCCAGCTACAAAATAGTGTAAAAGTGAGCCACAAGAGCAAAGCCTGGGCATTATGAATTCAGCCCATTCCCAGTCCCATAAAAGTATTTTTCTTCAATTAACTATGCTCACCAACTCCATCAAAGGGTACTTACTAAGCAACAGATGCACCTTAATCATAACTCTTCAATCAGAGGAGTCATTTTTTTCACCTTAATTAAATTAAGCTGGTTAGAAAAACCATGGAGGCAGTCGGTGATACAGTATCAAAGTAATGTTTAGGGATGAGAAAGAATTAGTAAAGAGACTGATGGAATTATTGACTTTATTCACTGCTGAAACCATTAAGAAAACTTTAATGCCACTATAATTAGACATATAAGCATCTTTAGAATAAATATCAGTAAAAGGAAAAAAAAGATACAGATCCTATTTAACAAGCTAGATATAAACAGACCATTGTGAATGAATAAAATTTAACCATGTGTTTTAAAGACATTTGAAGGTAAAATTATATTCTTCTTGGTCAGACCATGAAACCTATTATTTCAAAGGAGCACCATGTATAAGTGTGACATATTGCAAATATGAATCCACAAGGATTTTCCTGAGGAACGAGGTGGGTCTTACTTCAGATAGCATTTTTTACTCCTATGACTCCTCTCTAAAAGTTAAAGAAAATAACCAGTTTATGTAAGGGGAATTGCCTATCCTATATTTTCCTTTGAGGATTAAATAAGACAATGAATGAAGAGAACCACTGGCATCAACCATCTAGATTTTTAAAAAAAAATTCACAAGTTTCTAAACAAAAAGATTTACTTATAAATTAATATTGGGTTAAACAGATACTCAATTAATCACATGAATAGGGATCTCCTGATGAAATATCAGACTAGGGATGGGGACCATTTATATAAAAGCACAGTTAGGGGATCTCTTTGGAATCTTAGGTGTGCTATAGAACCCACATAAATGTACATATGCCAATACACCCAAAATTTCACATGGAATTTTAGGGTTTTCATTAGATCTTTAGAGGTTCAAGGATCACTGGTTGAGCATATCTGCTTTCAAAGTTGGGACCAACATTATATTTAATACCTCTGTAACCACTGTTCAAAATTTGAGTGCAGAGTAAATCCTCTGTGACATTAAATTCTTAAAGAAACAATATACAAAACAATTGTATTCACAAGCATATCTCACACAGGCAGAAAGGAAAGTGACAGATAAAGAATATGTGAGCAAATATGTATTATGACGTTCTCATGATATCAGCAAAGCATTTACACATTATAAACAATGTCTTAAAAGGAATGGTCTCTGCATTTGTGAAGAGTAGTTTTGCCAATGAACTGCTGAGACCACCAAGAAAGGCTACTAGAGAGGAAAAAAAAAATCTGAAAATAAAAATATGCTCTCTTTGTACAAAACCTAACACAATGGCAAATTTAGGAAGGATGACAGTGCAAAAGAAGGTCTAGTAAAAGAATTAAAATGATCAAGACATGACCGCCTGGGTTACGGTTTTAAAAAAAATTAATCAATGATGGCTCCATATTGAGTTCTAGGGTAAATGAAGATATTTTGAGAAGCAGTCTTAACCTTATGGACTTGATGATGTTAAGGATAACAGGCTTTCCGACATCATCTCTGAAGCAAGGTTAGAAACATATTGAGTCAAGCAGGTTTGACACAAAACATAAGACCTTGAAAAATGCCAAATGCACACTAATATTTCAATTAAGAGCAAAGTGTATTAAAAAAGAAAGGAATGCAATGTATAGCCAATACCCATGAGTTGATTCCATCTTCCGATTTAACGCCTGATAAATTAACAGCTAATAAATGACTAAGTTCTAACAGTAATTCAATTGTATTCCTAACTTTACTACCCATGAACAAAAATTAGTGATGCAGTTTAAATGTAACAATATTTACTATGACTTAATAACAGGCTTCTATAAATATAGTTATTCCTTAATTAAGAGACTGTGGAGTTCCAAAATACCATTTCCAAAATTTGATTCTATCTTCCCATTTATGGTTAAGTGAGCTAAGGAGAATTCTTCATTGCTTTAAGTTATTGCCATCAGCCTAAATTTAAACTCACATTACAATCTCATTAAATATAAATTGTAATATATTACCTCAGCAAACTGAAATAATGGGGACTTCTGACGTAATTCAGGAGATTCCGAAACATCCTGCCTACAAGTGCCAGAGGATACCTGAAATGAAGAAAGATGGTATGAGGCACACGGATAGTTTCTGGAAGACAACAGATGACAAATGCCACCTCAAACATTCCTTTTTCTTTTTTCTTTTTTAAGTTTTATTTATTGATGAGAGACACAAGAAAAAGGCAGAGACATAGGCAGAGGGAGAAGCAGGCTCCCTGCAGGAAGCCTGATGCAGGACTCGATCCCAGAACTCTGGGATCACAACCTGAGCCAAAGGCAGATGCTCAACCACTGAGCCACCCAGGTGTCCCTCAAACATTCCTATTTGAGGAGAGAACAGTTTTCATTTCCTTACTTGAGGCAAACTATGACAAAACTATAACTACAAAAGAGTAGTTATAGTTCACAAAGTTACACAAAGTGTCATCCAATAGTTAAATTATTGAATAAAAAGCAGGAGATGGACAAAACAATGCATTTTACAAAAGTTAAGATCAATTGAAGAGAAATTTCTACAATGATGCCCATCTGATCTTTTGGCTTTCTACCACTTTCAAAATATAGCTACTTCTTTCATTTCTGTTTCCCCAGTATTTTATATTATCCAACTACATGAAAACACAAATGGGATCTGATAATATAAACCTATGGGAAAACAAAACTAAAGTCAAATTCTTGTTTTTTAGGTATTCATGTGTTTATACACAAATCCTAATCATAGAAAAGTTAGTATTTACCTAAGAATAATTTCTTTTATAACATGTTTTCTTTTGCACTATTCACTATGTTGGTAAACATTTAGTGCTCTACAATCTTCATTTGAGATCTTCATTATTAACAACAGTTATAGAAATACCACTGGATTAAAAGAAATTCTTGCTATTAATTAATCAAGTACTCTTGTCAGGACACATACTTCCTTTTCTTATCTCATTGCTAAAACCGACCTCTATCTGCATTTGGGTGACATAATCACTTAGGCAGCCAACTATAATTCAAAAGTCGTGAGAGTCACAGAATATTGAGAGGATATTGTTATTCCTCTGATCTGACCCTTCTACAGATGAAGGAACTTAAATGACACCTCCCCTCCCTAACTAACATCCAATAATCCCCTTATTCTTGTTTATCACCACGAGACATAAACATTTGTTTCTTGTCTGTCTTCTTCCAGTAGCTCTGTTTAATAAAAAGGGCTCAACACTGCCTGCCCACAATGTCAACGAGCATTTTTTAAATAAACTAAAATAAAGTTGACATGTCTTCTAAATCCTCTCCCCCTTTTCTAAATGACAAGGTTAGAAAGTCTGAAGGAAAAAGTTATCTTTTACTATAGAGGAAAAACAAGTTAAAAATAGTTCTGCTTTTTTTTTTTTAAAGATTTTATTTATTTATTCATGAGAGACGTGGAGAGAGAGAGAGGCAGAGATACAGGCAGAGGGAGAAGCAGGAAAAGGGAGGAGCAGGCTCCCTGCAGAGGGAGCCTGATGCAGGACTTGATCCCAGGACCCCAGGGTCACGCCCTGGGTGGAAAGCAGACACTCAACCATTGAGCCACCCAGGTGTCTCTAAAAATAGTTTTAAATAACACGTTTCTGACAATAAAATAGTCCAAGTTCACCGTTGCAAATCTGGAAAAAATATAAAAACCAAAATACAGAAGAAAGTCGTCTATGATGATATCTGCAAAAGATAAGCACTGCTAATACTCATATATATATATATATATTCTCCCAGTTGTGTAAGATAATTTTTCATCAAAAATGAGACACTGCCCATAGTTAAAAACTGCTTTTTTTTTAAAATACATGATTTTTCCTGTGTAATTATAACTTTTCCAATGTAATTTTAATAGTTGCATATGATTATGTTAGGTGGTTGAAGCCTGTGGAAACAGCTGACAGTCACCTAGATTTTGTTCCTAAAAATGGAGCTTCTCACTGAACCCCTTTGTTAGATAGTGAAGATGTGTTTCTCTAACACTGTCATGGGTCAATGGGCAGGAACCAGCATTTGAAATCTTAATTGTCACCTTTGTATTGGAAAGAGTAATGGCCACCTTCTTCCAGTGACAACCTGTCACCTGACTGTTTGTATGTCAAATGGACCAGTGGTGTTTTTATTTGCTTCCCAAGAATTTGAAGCCAAGGAGACACAAAATGCACTAAAGAGAAGGCCAATGAATTCTAAAATTACTAGCCACAAAGAAGTTCTTCATTGAAGGAAAACTTGAACAAAATATAGCTTTATTTAAGAATGATGAAGAAAAATCAATACTGTTCTTGGTTTATAAAGAAAACCTTTTTAAAAAAAGAAAACTTTATGTTTAGCTCCTAGATATCTTGGTAAATAATCAAAATTTTATTCAAAATCAGGCCTAGGATTCAATTAATATTATAAAATGTCTTAAAATTCAGTAACACAGGTTATACATGCGACATAATCTATAAAAGATAGCTGGAATCAAGTATATTTGGGGTAGCTACACTGCATGAAGTCTATATATTCTTCATGAATATGGTATTTCATGATAGGTATTTTATGATATGTGAGAAAGTTACCATTTATAAGGCGATGAGTTACCCTAGGAGTTCATATGAATTATAAGAAGTCAACTTTTCTTCAAGTGCTGTTTATAGATTATCTGGCCATCACTACACTCACAAAATTTTAAAAGTTAAGTGAGACCCTCTGCAAATCATTATAATGGATGGTCATAAATACTACTTTCTTTTTGAATAGTGAATTGGAATATAAGTAATTATTCAAGGCAACTGTAATCCTCCACATATTATGTTTTTTGGACTGTGAAATCAAAGAACTCTGTATATGCATGTTTGTGCTCACCACGCACCTAAAGCATGTACAATGAGTATCTGTTGACTGACTTGATTCTGTGTATGTATGGATACAAAAACTCTCAGTGACTTGACAAGGAATTACATACACAACAAAGACTAACCAATGTTAAAGTAGAAGTAACAGAATCAGGAAAGCTATGCATAGTACTCTATAAGATGTCTCTCAAAAATTGAATTACTCTAACTTTAAAGTACTGTGGATTTAGCATATATTTTCAGTGGACTGTAAGGGAAACAGCACAAAATTAGGAGCCAGGAGAACTGGGTTCCTACTGAGCCATGTGGTTACCTGCATCTCTAGTCCATAGCAGAATTAGAAGCCACAAATCAGAAGGGGTCATGAATGAAGATATTAGGAAGAGGGTTGGAAAAGAAACAATACCAGCAGCAAAAGCAGGGAGAAGATAGAAAAACTGTAAAGAACAGAAGACACAAATGTCTTATAAACTACTGTAGTCCATCTAAAAGAAATTAGAGCAAAGAGTCTCAAAGTTTCTCCTGAAGGCTTCAGTTCACTGCAGTAATTAATATTTATAACTATGGTTCTAAGTTGTCAAGGTAAGGATAATTATAAAATATAGCTTTTATTAAAAGGCAGAAATGCATGTGATGCATGCTAGGCATATTTCCACCAAAATCTCAAGAGGTAAATATGGCACAATGACATGGAAAATGTATGTATACAGAATTCATTCTTGTGTGCTTGACAAATTAAGGCATCCAATGCAGAAATGTACATTTGTGCATATACTAATAAATATATACATTTGGTAAAAAAAAAAATCAGAGGTTATATCCACATAAAAGTTAAGAGTGTATTTTGTACAAAAGGCTCCTATTTAAGTACCAGTCAGAGGGTCCCAGATCTTATCACCTTGCTATTTGTATTTACAGTACTCCAAATTACTTATTACGTGGGGCATGCTTTCTACGGATAAATATCAATTCCTCAATCTCCATTCCTATGGCCGGCTTACTTTCTAAATACAGCAGAACACACAAGAGTCAAAAAGATATCTCTTCATTAATTAAGAAGAAAGAAAAGATACCAAATAAGCAGAGGTTAAATAAAGGGAGGGGGAAAAAAAAACCCAAAAGTTGTTCCCACAGTCTCTGAAATAATCCATAAAGCCACTAGGTGTAGCTATCTGCCCAAGAAACAAACAGCTAGAGGGATTTTTTTTTTTAAAGCAGTTTTGTTAACGTCTCTTAAATCTAATCTTCCTTTTGATTTAGCTATAATTCTCAGTAGCCAAGAATGAGGAATTATTAACATAATTAAGAATTACAACAAAGTAGTATCTTTTCCCACAAGCACACTTCACATTGTGCAAATGGAAGATACAGACATGTGATCCAGCCTCCTGATATAAAACAAGATCACACCAGTTCGACAGATGCACTAGAAGTGCTTTGGAAAGCTAGGTATTAGCAATAGCCTGTTCCTACCTCATAAGGTGCAGGGCTGCAGCCACACACAACTGGATTCCGATAAACATACAATCAACAAAAGGGGTAAAAGTGCATTGGTTCTATGTGAGCTATATATTTCAGCCCTTGCTATTTCAAACATATGTTGATACCCCTTCAACATAATATTCAGTAAAAACCTACTATGTGCCAGCCATAAAGACTGCTCACTGCTTCTAAGCAGCTTACATTCCACTTGCATACATTTTGTGCCAGGGAATAAAATGATAAGCTAAGGGAATGTGTCTGGCCCTTAAGTAGCTTGCAATCCAAAAAGAAAAAAAAAAGTAGCTTGCAATCCAAGTGCAGGGGACAGCTACACACGTAAGATGTAAGCGCACACTGGCAAGGCACAGTGGCCGTGCTAGGCCTATGAGGCCAGAGCAGCAGCTTTCACCCCTTCTGGGTGGGACAGGCGGAAGTTATTAAGACAGTAATGTCTGAGCTACACCTAGGAGAAAAACACCACACATGAGCAAATGAATGATGTGGCAACAGCAGGAGGAAAAATATGGAGACAGATGCCCTGTGTGTTTGAGAGTAAGGACTTTCTCAGTGTGGATGAAGAGAAGCCTGGGAGGGTAGTGGGAGATGAATGCAACAGAGAGAAATTTGAATTCTCGGTTATTGAAAATGAGGCTGAAGGCAATGGGGAGCCAGCCAAGGTTTTCACTCAGAGGAGCAGCGTGATGAGAGATAGGTAGTTAGATAATTCTG